TTACAACAGGCTAAGTTTTAACCTCAGACCTATAGGTAAATGTGGTGGAGGGTTTCAAGACCTTTCCCGTGTCATCCTGTTGTTGTTTCATTGGTTTTTTGGTTGACAGTGCAATCACTGTTACGATGTCAGACATCAGTCGTACACTCTCTTCATCTCCCTTGTGTGTCTCTGTCTCTCTTGTATACATGGAACTCATACACAGAAGTGGATTTAATTTTTACTGTTATATTCTTATCCTTTATCTCTGTTCGTATATATTTAATGTAGCTCCAAGTGTTCAGGGTAGATTATGGGTGGCAATGTTAATTCTAATTATTAAGTCAGTGCAAGAGTTTTTGTGGTAAATAATAAATTTTATGCATAGTCATTTCTGTGCCTGCATATCAGAAGGGTTTTATGTATATTCTTTGGTTGAAGAAGTTTAAGAATCAAACGAAAAGGCACACCAGCAGTTTTGGTTTGGGGAATGCCAGCTTAAAATTCATCAGCACACTGCAGTAAGCTCTGTTAGCGTGACGCTTCTTGTGACAGTGAGGTTCAAATGAGTTGTCTTCATCTTTACTTTTGAGGTATAAGAAAAAGTTCTTAGCTGGGAAATTTGGAGTGATAGTCCAAATATTTCTGAAAAGTTTTAAAGGCTATTGTGACTATTGCTTGAATTAGCAAAGGGATTATTTTTTTTAGTTTCATTAAATGAAACATGCAATGACAGGTTAGATGTAAAAGATCATTTGTGGTTCTTAACACAGCTTTTTAGCATATGTTATAGACTGGATGGCAGTTTCAGCTGCATGTTTATAGCTGCATAATCTTGTTTCAGAAAAATAAATGACTGAAAAGTGTGCTTATCATTTTTTCCCCCTTTTTGGTAACATCTTTTCATACACTGACAGTTATTGTGAATGCATGAAATAAAACTGTTAATCAGTCAAACAAATGCAGCGTAGTTTACTTGTTAAATATCTGTATATTTGTAAATTGTATGTTTTGTATAAATCATGTCGTAGCCAAATAATTTGATCTCCCCATATTGGAATCACCTCCTATATTATTTGTTAAATGCTGTTGTGATCATGCACCAGACACTGTAACTATATACCCCGGAATTAGGTGTTGCTTCAAAAATCCTGAGTCTTCCCCTTGTAACCAGCTGTGTTGGCATTTAAGCAAAAGCCGTATATAGAAAAAGAGCAGTAGCAAACTTTTTGTTGTGCGGAGGTACGTGTCGATTGATTGTGGTGTACACGCAGGTTTGAACAAGCTGTGACCAATAGCTTTGGGCTCAAAGATGTATACAGAGGATAAATATATTTAAGATGGACTTTTTAAATGAATAGGTGATTTCTGCCTGTGATTAACATCATCACAATGCAACATTTCATTTTGGCTTTTTTTTTTTTTTTTCCTTTTTTAGAGGCCTACAATATTTTCCTGAAAATGCAAGGGAAGAATGAGTTTCATTATCGTTCTTATGACACCCTGATAAAAGCATTGTTAACCCAGGGTTGTCTTGAAGAAGCCATCAAAGTGAAACACATGTAAGGCTTTTCTGTGTTTGGGGGATTTTAATTACTGGGGGCAGCGGGTGGTGGTGTTTTTAAATAATTTCTGGATCATTTTCAGGTAAGTCCTATCAGGACAGGTCATGACTGGTAATTAGGAGCTATGGTAAGAAACACACCAGTGATTCAGAGGGCGATATGCCATATATTAAAAAGGTACTAAGTGACAGTATGTGTTGCTAATAACTCATTTCAACTAACAATGTCAACAAATGTACTTGGCATCAGAACTGAAAGTCTACCCTCCTGGCAGTCTGCCGTTTCCTCTTTAGAGCAATATCCAAACAGACAGGATTCCTTCACTTAGCTGCCCGTGAGCCTTCCCCTAATGCCCATCCCTGCTGCTGTCCTACCCTACCCACACTCCCTGGCAGCTGGCTGCCTGCCAAATGCAAAATGGTACGTTTGACTGGGATGCCAGTGGCTAGGAGATGACCATAAACCTTAGATCCAACTCTTACACTTCTGAAATAAATCCAACCTGCTGTCATGTATTATTAGAATCACCAGAATCAAATTAACCTTTAGTGAGTTGTATGGTACACCACTTTAATTATTGCCTGTAATGTGTGTTCTGGTCAGATTATAGGCTTCAAAGAAAAAGTGTAACTACTCATCAATGTGGAGGTTAGAAGAACAAAAATTTGAGTTTAAGTAGTTTAAGGCTTTCAGTTTCTTCAGCTAAAACAGGAACAGTGGTTGTCATCAAGTATGTTCTCTGACTAAATGCAGTGAATGTGAAAGTTCCTGTAGATAACTTAAATGATGCACAGAGCACTATAAAAATCTAGTTGTCAACTTAGTTTTCAATGTCTGTGAACAGTATAGTGTAAGATGTTGTTTATTATTTTCATATTTTCTTTAAGTGTTTAGACTGAAGAAATGTCTCTCATTGAGAAAGTATTTGAGTTCTGCATTTAGAAGAATAAATAATATTTTTTTTCGCAGAGGTCTCAGTAACCGGGCTGTATGATAAGGAATATTTGTGCTTGATGAATATATGACTTATATCAAGGAAAAACTTAAACAGTTTATCAAAGTGAGATGCCTGAAATACAAGTCACTGATAAATCTTTGTCAATAGATGTTTTAGAAGGACAAGAAATGCTGATAAAGTTTAGGTAGCATGCTAAACATTTGCAGAAAGTATTCATGCATTGAATGATGTATTGAAAGATCTTCATGGAGGAGGTTTGAAACTTTCTACTAAAGATTTGTACACGCATTTACTGCTTCCCTGCTCTGCAGCTCACACACACTTGTAAGGAAGATGCATGAAGTATTGCATGTTATCAGCAGTAATTTGCAGATTGGAAAGGCAGGAAGAAGGTGGTGGCTTGTTCCTAATGTTTTGATGATTCAGAATTCCCACTTTAGATAAGTGTTGTCATACATAAATTCAAAATGCAAGAAAAAGATGAGCAAAAAATTTTAAAGACTACATAAGTAGATGTGTTTTAAAGGACTAAACCTCTGAACCTTGAGATATTTAGGAGAAAGGAAATAGCATTTAATAAGAGGTTCTGTTCTTGGTCACTGGTCAAAGCCAACTGTCATAATAACCCCTGTGCTTTTCAGAACTCTCGTACTCCACCTTGTAGCATAGAAATGCCAAATAATAACATTGTAGGAAGCCTGTAGCGGCTCACTGTTGCATCAAGACAGAAAACGCTTCTTATTGGCAGTGTTCGTGGTGTTTATCTGCGTATCTTTTTTTTTTTTCTGGTAACAAAACGATGCTTACATTAAGCATTTTCAAAAGTCTAAGTTTTAAATTATTCACTGAAATAGAGTGATTGTGTGTCTACCCATGGTTGAGAAATGGCAAATCTGTGTGTTTTGCACACATTTCTGCATGCTTGACAATTTTTCCAACCTCATATTACAAAGAGACTGCTCCTACAAAGCCTGAATGTGTGCAGTGGTCTGAAACTTGTGCAACTCCTGATATTCTCATAAAATACAGGAAAGCTACCTTCATTTATGTAAGCTAACATATTTTTCTTTTTGCTCTGCTTGAAGTTGAAATAATATGTAGAGAGCCTACTTTAAGCGGTAGCATAGGCAACAAAATACGTGATTTTTTAATTTTTTTTTTTTTTTTTTTTTTCCATTTAGAAAGGTCAGATAATTTTAAAACTTTCTTCCTGTTACCAGAACTGGGAAACTTCCAGGCGAAAGTGATGTGGTAGAAGGAAATTGCACTCCTACTCTGCATTTGAAAAAAACAAAGCAAATAACACAGAAAGTTACTGATCTCATGGGCAACCCAAGTCTAGTTGCTTTTGCATTCTAGCACTATTTTGAGGAATATTTACTGCATTTAGTCCAAGAAGTTTTAAATAGAAATTTAGGAGTATTGGAATGATGGATTAGTTCTGTAATAGTAGCTAACATCTATTTAATCACACTAAAGATTGGAAGATTGGAGAAAGTAAATCCTTTGTTATATGTAATTTACAGTCTCATGCATGAATTGTTGACTTAAGGGCTTTGACAGATGGGACAAAGGAGAAAAAAAAAAAGCGGAACTGAGCAGTGGGTGCTTAGGCAGGGATTAAGAGGATTGGTTGGGAGAGTAAGAAAATCCCGAGTCCAGTGACTGCATTTGTGAGCCTGGGAGGCTGAAAGTGACTGAGAGGATAGTCATATTGTGTGCTATGTGAAGGATTTTCTTGGGATTGAGGAGAATAATTTAGCAATGACCCTGCTTACCTCCCAATCCGCTCAGCCTCTAAGTTCAAGTAGGTAGGCTGCTCAGTTGTTTGCCACAAGATGATCAGTGAGGTTTATCTTGATTGCTGATATGGTAAATGGCAATGCCCCCCTTTTCTGTGTAGAGATTTTGTAATCTAGAAATGAACCTTTGTAAAGTTATCCTTATATATTAAAAATGTGGCTATGTGTCATTTAGGAACAGGAACATTTTGTAGTGTAAGATCAATGTGATTGCTGGTTAGTCTCTCTCGACTAATTTCTAGAGTGTTAGAAGAGCTTTAGCAGTGTTATTAAAGATTCTCTTTGCTATAGATACATGAAGTTTTGTATTACAGGAGAAAAAGAATTGATAAGTGAAATACAATTTTAACATGGCTAAGGCAGCAAGTGTAGTATGTTCAGTTTAAAACCTGTATACATCTAGATGACAGAAATTTGAAAATTAATCAACCAAATGATATGGTGTTAGTTCATAATATGCTTTAGTTTATGTTTAAAATATACAGTGCTGAAAATAAATGTTTCATTTTTATTGCTGAAAGAATAGTTTTATATTTTATAATTATGGTGACTATTGAAAAAAGAAGAAAAAGTATCCAGCTTAGGATACAACAGAACAATGCAGGGCATGCAGTTATTTTAGTCATCTAATATGTCAGCATTCAAGAATCTGAACCGATTGTTTAAAAAAAATCTTGTACTTTGTTTCTTTTGTTGCTCACTTCCAACTTTGTCATCTGTCAGAATGCAAAAAAAAATTATCCTTCTATAACCATTGACAGGATAACACAAAAGCTGTCTCCAGGTCGATATTTTGCGGCAATATTTTTAACATACGAACAGTAGTTTTTATAATTTCACCTTGGTGCTCAACCATTTATTATCGTATCAGAAGCATGTCAGTAATTCCTTTCTAAATGTCTGCTTCTTTTAGTGCTGAGACCCACATCAAGGGCTTCACACTGAACAGTGCTGCCAGCAGCCTCCTCATCATATCGCAAGTTAGGCGGGATTATTTGAAAGGTATGTCACAATGCTTGACCTTTACGTCACATTAATGCCTCTGCAGATTTTTCTTGTAACGCCCTTCGAATACTTGGATAAAGGAGTCCATTTAGCAAATTACCTGCTTATCAAGAGCCTTTTGTGGTAGCTGAGAGACGTAAATTACTGTACATGCATTTATAATACAGCTTGAATATGAATGTACTTGTCATTTGACCACTTAGTCCAGTTTCCATTCCATTTAACACAAGATGGGTTTTCTTAAGATGAATCACAGCTCTTCAGACATGCAAAATTTGTGCTCCAGAACGAGAGAAAGTACAGGCTTTCAAGTGCGTTAAAATTCACAGCACAAGTCATTTTGCTTTGGAAATTAACATACTTTAGAGCATCTGAAACAATTCCCAGCAGTTGTTTCTTGCATATTGTGTTGGTTGTGTGAGATACCCGATGAGTTAAATTGACTGTTAAATGTGCATGATTGTGCACTAAATGATTATAATATTGATTTAAAAACTTAATCAAATACTTTTTAATAGTTCTCAATACCAACAGTAACAAAATACTCAGTTTGGTTTTCTTTTTAATGTAGCAATGATGATAGTAAAGAAAATGGTGGCTGAAGAGTATGTAAGGGTACCCGACAAGATGGCGGATAAAGTTTACAGTTGTGTCATTTTAGTTGTTGGCAACTAATTTAGTTTAGTTGGCTGTTTTAAAGCCTGGAGTTCCACTCTACACCATTACATTGTGCTGTAGAACTCCTGTGAGAGAGGAAAACTTTGCAAGCACATAGATTTACATGAAGTGCTGTGTCTGTTACCGCTGTGCGAGCGTTACTACAGCATTGATAAGTGTTTTTGTCAGTAGCTTTAAGCGTTAAAGCGGCTCCATACGAAGAAAATGTGTTACGCTGAATTGGGTTTTACTTTCATACCAGAAGACATACCAGAAAATCCATTTTTGATCCTGCCATCAGTTGATTTTATTTCATTCCATGATGTGTAGCTGTAGTAGCCCATACCCATGTAACATAAACTACATTAAAAGACTCTTAAGATGAGCATTTAGACACATCGTCTCGCTCATACTGCAGCTGATAAACTTGTCTTCTGTCACATTCCTTCCCCATTCAGTCTACAGTCTGACGTCATTGCCAGGTGCCATCGACCAAAGTATTTGTGGTGAATGTAATTGCCTCTCTCGCTCTTGGCAAGTCTTAAGTCTTTGCAGCTTTCAAGGCCTTCGCCTGACTTTCCTGTCTGATTTTATTGTAATAAATTTTCTGCTTATTCTCGTCCAGTGTGCCATGAAGTTTTGCCATTTCTTCCTAAATATTACACACAAAAATCTTCCCTTCTTCAGAACATCACTGGTGTTTCTATATTCTGCCAACCTCTTGTGCTAACTACCTGGTTTCTTTTTAGCTAGCATACTAAATTCTTGCCACGTCAACTCTCTCCCTTGCTGTACTCTTAAAAATGTTTCTTTTTTTCACAATCCAAAGTTTCTCAAGAAGTTTATGGAATTGCATTGCTTTGCAAAATTATGTTTTCCTTTATCTTCTGCTTTATTTTGCAAGCTACTAAATATTTCAGCCATACTGGTCTTTTTCTGAGCCTCATAGACTACCCAAAAAATTTCTGGGCATAGTCTTTTTGTAGTCTTTTGTTGGTGAGCGCCATTTGACCTACCTCCTGTGATGACTTTTGCTTGTGTAAAACTTTCTTGCTTTATCACTTCCTGATACAGTTCACCATCATTCTTTGCTGTGTGGTGTGGTATAGATAAAAGGTTTTATGTAGGTCCCTAAGTGTACTCATAAGAGCTCTAATATCTTCTACCACGAAATTGGTAAAACCCAGGTTACTTTAAGTGTCAGAACTTGAGTTTCACGGTAGGGAATTTGCAGAGTTTATAGGAAAGCCTTTTAATAGATAAATGGTTGATTTTTCACAAGCACACAGTTACCTGCTCCTAAGTACTCAGAAAACAAGGGATTAAATTATGAATTCAGATTAGTAATAATGGATGCTTTTGCATAAGAAAAAACCGAAACAGCAGAATTATCCAGTATGCTGCTAGTACGACATTTCTTGCAGTAGTGCTGCACCCATGCAACTTTCAAATCTGCCTCTGTCCTGGAGAAGGCTGGTCATGCTCTGTGCTAAAGGGAGGTTCTCTCTTAGAATCAGGAGGGAATTTGAACTTAGCATGTGTTTTAAGTTTGCTTTTTAAATTTTGGGAGTCTTGCCCCTGGTGTATTGCTCCTTTTTTTTTTTTTCCCCTAAAAAGAAAGAGGGAAGGGGAGAAGGCGGGGAGGGGTGCAGAATTTAAATTTGCTGTGAAGGAAGGCTAGGCATACAGGATGTTTTTTCTTCCTCTCCTGTGAAAGGTAATATTTGGTTTCTGCAATACGTGCATATTGAATTGGAATGTTAATGCTGTGGAGTTCAAGTGGGTGTATATTGTGTTAGAAGTGTTATCCCTTGGTATTATAATTATTATCTCTGATTAATCCTGCCTATGCTGATAAGGGGTAAGAGATTTTTACCAGAGGGGCATGTCTTTCTCTTGTGTGTTTGCTCATGTATAATGTAAATTGACAAGATTCTGGTTAGAGAAACGAGAGTGACTTCATCTGCAGTGAGTTTGGGGAATTCGTGGCAGATGGGCAGGAGGTTGATTTTGTGTGGTTTTAACATAGGTAATTGCTATAATTTGAGGAGTTCTTTAGGTAACTGTCCAGTTTTGAGTTTATTTTCGTTCTTTTATGGAGACATGTCCTGTGCTTTCATTTAAAATTAAATGGTTTGGGGCACACTTAAAAAGACAAATCTGAATACTAGACTTCAGCAGTTTCAATAATGATTTGCAGTTTTAAACTATGTTTATTGTTAAGTATACAACATTTTTTGTTTTTGGCAAAGAAAATCTATTATAATTTGGAGAAATAAAATAAGGTCATGACTTTTAAGGCCATAAGAGAGGGCATTTATTATACAGCTGCTTTCTTTGAGCTGGGTACTGAAATAACTAATTAAATGTAAAAGTATCTTAATACTTTTTATTGAGCAAATGTTACAGCATTTTAACCTGAATTACTGTTGAAAGTTTTTATTTGTGTGTGTATATAGTCAAGTGTGTGTGTGTATATAATTCACTGTACCAATTTTGGGGCTTGAGTTCAGCAAGAGAATTAGTTTCTGTATGTGTTTATAAAAGGGTAGGGTTAATGATACCAGCAGCATGGTTGTTTTCTGAAATAAAAACCTGATTTCCTTTTCCCTTATTTCTTTACCCTTGTTAGATGCAGTAGCTGTTCTAAAAGGAATGCTTGACAGTGGCCTGTTGCCTACTAGACCAGCAGTTACTGCACTCATTCAGACTCTGGCTGAAAAAGGAGATCTAAAGAACCTGCAAGCACTTAAAAACATGCTGGAAGACATCACAAAATCGATTGGTGTATCTGCCTCACTAATTGCTAATGCTATTGCATTGGCTCATACTAAAAAGTAAGTACTTCTAGGACTAGTATATGTGATTCTTTTATGCAGAGTGGTGGAAATCACTGGCATTATCCATTTCATTCTGTTTCCATTCCCACAGTGTCCTGGATGTTAAAATTCCAGTTAAGTTGAGCAGCGTACTGTGCAGTTCTGTTCTGGTGTCGTTTCCCAAACACGTTTAGGGTTGAAAATAATTTAGTGAATTACAGGAATAGCTATGAAGCTTTTAGGAGAGCATAACGTATTCTCTGGTGGTGTAATTTAGCTTTGATACCTTTGTTCTAACATATTACACCTCATATAAAGTGTTCTTCTTGGTGTTTGATCAAAAGCCCTATGAAATCCAAACGTAAAATTGAATTACTTCATCAGTATAAATGTAAGCAAATCTTGGAATTAGTACCCACAGATTATGCGTATAATACTTGTTTGGAAACAAAAATCTGCTACCTGTTCCAGTAGTTGAAATGACCAAATATTACTGTGTTTGCCCTCGAAGTGTGAAAGAAAGGCATGTATCTGTGGAGTGGGTTTGTTTGGGTTTTTTTTTTTTGTCAGAATTATAAAAAAAAAAAAAATTGGCTGGTAAACTGTTTTAGGCCACTGTTTTGATCATGGTAATTATCTCCACACTTTGAGTGTCCTTTGATTCAGCTGTTTAATTCAGTATCCATGTTCTGCCTAGCAGTTTTGTTTTAGTTGATACATTGGTACTGTGCTAGTTTATCCTTTGTATAAAACTGCTTGGGGGAAGCACTTTTGGGAGAAAGAGCATACTGTGAACGCCTCCAATATGCTTTGCAGGAACCAGTCTTCAGGGATCCTACTTATTCTGTTACTTTATTTCAAACCAGTTTCATCAGGCAGAGCTCCTGTGTCTAACTCTGCAGGAAAGCTGTAGAACTGTGTAGTCCATAATAGATACCCGACTGCCTCAGGCATGCTAGACCAGAGAATAGTCACTGAAGTGTTTGGAACAGCGAGAGGACTTGAGTTGAAGAACCACCATGCAGGCCATTTGCAGTAGTGAGCTCACTATATTTTCAGCCGCTGAAAAACAATCTGTCTATAGTGGACTGATCCTGTAAATACCTAGATCTGAGTGGTCCTTGGCACACAGTTCCAGTGCATTGACTTTTGCCTAAATTAAACACTCTAAGTAAGAGAGATGCTTCAGGGTTTGTCTCTTAAGCTGCATGTTTTCCTGTATTTTCATGTTATGAAAGTGTCGTGAAGTCATGCTATGTTTTTTTTAAGATGTAGATTAGTGACAAGAATAGATAAATAAATTTCTGTATGCAAGCACAGGTTATTGAGGCAGCATTGACTTTTCCCATACTGAAACTAGCTTGCATGTATGAAAAGGCAGCAGCAGTGTAAATAATATGCACCTTATATATTCTTAAATATCTTGCAAGCTGTACCTTGAGAACTATGAAAACCAGATTTCAACGGATGTTTTTAATACCTGTTCATTTATTGGTAGATTCATGTTTCTGATACAGTTTTCAAAGTGTTTTTTATAGCTTTCAAATGTGCTGCATTTCTGCTTCACCTAAGAGCGTTCATTGTGCCCAGATTTCTTTTTCAATTAAATTAGCTTTTAGAGTGGACTGATAAGAGATGTTGTCATTTGAACTTTTTAGAATGCTAGGAGTAGAGTTTACACTTTGATGAATAATTTCTGCATTATTTTATTAGCATTTGCGGTACTTTAGCCGTAAGATTAAAAGTGTTTAGACAAAGGTACTGACCGAACAACATTTAGTATTGTCTTTTGCATCCAAAAAGGCAGGCATGAGAAAAATTGGGTAAATAATTAATTGAAGAGCATTAAAAAAAAAAAAAAAAACAACCCTGAGTTGCATGCATTAATTATTCAGATACCTTCCGTTAATGTTTTGATTTTTGCCTTCTAGATTTGCAGAGCACATTTCCCTAAGCGGTTAGCTGAACTCTTCTTTCTTAATGAGCAAAAAAGTGTCAAAATTACTTAGGTTTTGTACAGGTCAAAGGTCGTTAAAAAAATGTGTGGGTTAAATTATTCATTCAGTCATAAATGGTTTCATTTTTACAATATCTGAATGAAGTCATAGGTACTCAACCATTCCTGGGAAATATAAACTTGATGTAGAAAACAAAAACTTTATTGTAGTTACTTCTTTAGGTTTAGAAATCTTGATTTGAGAAACTAAGCCAGTTCAATGTCTCTTCCTAGCAATGACCTTGATGCTGCTGTGGAATGCCTTGAACCTCTGCTTATCTCTGGTGCACAGAATCCTGATCAAGCTGTCAAAAGTATTTCCTATTTGTTAAGAAAGGTGTCTGAGGAAGGATTAGAACCAGCTTTGGAAAAATGTAAGTTAATTGCAATGATATTTAAATATTCTGACTAGAGAGAGGTGTTATGAAAGAGCTATTACATGTAAAACCTGCTCAGTCAGCATAAATCATGCCTGTGAAGTTTACAAAAATGGCTTTTCAATCAAAGATTTTCCTTATGTACCCATCATTTTGCAGTTGGTGTGATGGCAGAACGACTGGCCAGTCAGTTTGGAATTTACAGACCTGTCACAGAGCTTTTCCTTCAATATGTCAGTGCAGACAGAGCGGATGATGCCAGATCGCTGGTACAGGTAATGACATAACAAGAAAGGTACAGAAATGCTTAGAGCTCTTCAAAGGTTAACTGAGAAATTGTCAAAAAGAGGTGTTGTATAGCACAGGCTAGTACTGGTATGCTTTTGAGTTACAGTCTGAGTAGCAGTAGCACAGTTCAGACTCCTCCAAACCATGAGCTAGTACTCTAGCATTAATAGTAGTAGTGGGTGCCGGAGTCTGAATGTTGTTTGTCTTCTAACAACTTGAAAGAAATAAAGGAAGACTTGTGTGTTGCTTGAAATTCCATCCAAAGCAAATATTCTTCTGTGTTTTCTGCTAGACAACAATTGCTTCTTGCAAACCATTTCCTTGCAACTTCTCACATAATTTCTTAAGTGCTGTGATCGTAATAAAATCTTACTGCTGTACAGTTTGCAAACCAGAAGCAGGCAATGTTGGCTTTTCATGGACTTTATTTCACCTGATCCAAGGATTATTAAAAGTTAAATTTGCTTTCTATTCTCTTGAGTGTCACAGATGCATTAAAAGAGAAATGCTGGTCTCTGGGCCGCAGTCTCAGCTGAGTTAGCGATCTTCAAGAGATGAGACAGCTGCATTCATGCCATTTATACAGAGCTAAAGACAAAGCCGAGCCACAGGTGGGATGAGCTGTGGGTGGTGGGAGCTGCACAAATGGGCTTGTCCCAGCAGGTGGCAGCCCAGCAGCCACGCCGGCCCTGCGGATTGCGCAGTCACAGAACGTACCGTCCCAGGTTGGAAGGGACCTCAGGGATCCTCTGGTCCCGCCTTGGCAAAAGCACAGTCTAGACGAGATGGCCCCGCACCCTGTCCCGCTGAATCCTAAGTGTCCACTGTCGGGGAATCCACCAGTCCCCGGGGGAGACCAGTGTCCAGTGGTTGATTGTTCTCATGGTGAATGGCTGATTGTTCTCATTGTTCTGTGTCCGTAGGCTCCTGCCTCCAATTGAGGCTTCTTACCATCTCCTGGTAGTGCACACTACTTGTTTACCGGTTCCTAAGTATTTTAAGCTGTTAAAGAAAAAGCTCTGCTTCATCCATCAGATGTTTTATGATAGTCCAAGACCATTTTTTGAGAAGAATGCATACCCCCAAATGTGTTGGGTTACATCTGCTGCGGTGTGAGGTGTATTATTTGTGTATTCCCTGCTCTGGAACATTACTTTGTTTATTGCTTTGCCTAACTGGTTATCTGAGTATTAAATTAAAAGGACACTACAAGTTTTCTATAAAACCCTCTTGCTATATAGCATGAAACATCAAAATGCAAAAAAAAAAAACCCCAAACCCAAGTTATGTCACTCTTCCTGATTTTTTGATTGTTCTTTGATTGAGATGGAATGAAAATCATTTACAATTTCTTGCTTTTGTGAAGGGAGAGGGTCTTACATTTTTAAGTAAAATCTGCATGTTCTTAAAATTTTTCCAAACATGGAATAATTTCCACTCATATATTCCTAAAACTTCTTATTACAATAGTGTCCAACTGTTGGAATTAAATTCACGGCTCTATAGCATACCTGAGATAACATTGTGCATGCTATATCTTTGGGGAGAATTTTAAAATATTTCATGTTGAGTGGACATTCACAAATCAGTTTAAGTCGAAACCTCTGTGTATATGAGAAAATTTGGGGTTTTAAATGGTTCAGGAAAAACTTTCAGTTATGTTAAACATTCGATCAAGTATTCTACTAGTAGGTAACCAGAAGACAGTAATAGTCACTGACCATTTTTTGTTATTTTCTTGAAAAATAAAACATAGTTAATTATTTTGCTTGTAATAATCTGAAATATTAGTACACACATGGAGAATTCTTGCTTTCAAAAATGCATCTAAGGGTCTATTTAAAAGTTAAAGCAACATCAACAGTGTCTTTTGTACTGTGTGGAGGGAGAATGCATTTATTGACCAAAGTCAAAAGCGGCTTGATATTTCAGCGTGAAAGGGGGCTGGGGGAAGCATTTCTCCAACTAAATTCTCTTTCCTCTCATAGCATCTAGTGACAGTAGGTGAGAATGGCTACAGTCAGTAATAAAATGTTGCAAGATTCTCCCATGAATATTTTACCTCTGTTTGTCACCATAAATCAATTTTTTGTCAGAACACTATGGGTACACTTTTGTCTCAGTTTGATGGAATGGAACTTCACACCTTTTCACCTGGACCTTAAAGAGCTTGTCAAACCGTATTGCACGTATAGTACATTCATAACGGCATAACCCAAAATTTCTTGTTTGCATATGTCCAAAATAACTAATTGAATGCAGTAAATTCGTGGTAGGTGTATTTTTATATGCACCATGTTCTCTTCCTGTGCATTTTGGTACTGATAAAATATCTTGCAGCTGGTAAAAAGCACTGTGCATTGTAAGAAGTTTAAGACTGACACCTTTGAGGAACAGACACTAAAATATTTTCTTGTATATTTTATTTTGCTCTAGTTTCTGAAGTAAGAAAGATTTTTGATTTCTCTGGTCTGTCTCAAACTTTAAGTTGAACTTCTCTTTCTTTCTCAAACACTGTCTATTGCGGTGAAAGCCTTTTATAAAATACAGAGATTGAAATCAGTCCTTTGTATGCATAAGTGTAGGTAATTATACTTTAAAGAGAACTTGCTTTGTACATTTTAATTTTTATAAAGAAACGAGCAGTTATCTCCCTGACACCTTATTAAATGTATAATTAACCTTATGATCCCTAGCTCACTTGTGAATGCTTGGCAGTATAATTGGAGAGGAATAGTGTTTCTCTTTTTCATTCTTTTGCAGTCCTAAACCTCATTTTTTTTGCCGTATGTTGAAGTATTAGTTTAATTCTTTCCCCTTTTGTTTTAAACAAACTTTATACCTACCATTTTAAGAACAATGTTTACCAAAACGGTGCATGAAATGAACTTATTTCCTTTGTTCAGGGGTGGTTTGTTGTTGTTGTTTTTTTAATTAATGGTCAACTATTATATATACTTTATATATAATACGTCAGTATATTATTTTAAACATCTGTAATTAGAAATTTTCACCTTAGAGATTGTTTATCGCTAACCTACTCATGACTGCTACGTTAATTATTTCTTTTTCTTTAGAGGTGTGGCGCACTAGTTGAGGAGAAGAGCACTTTAGTGAGTTTTATGGCTAGATCAGCATCTAAACCTGGACAGGTATAATAATTTTTAATGCATAACATTGTATATGTAGCAAAATACTGTTTCATCAATGTTTGAAGTGTTTTGGATCTTAAACTTCACAGCTGACAGCTTTACAAGGTTTCTTGGGGATGAGGGGAGGTTATTGTGCAGAGCCGGTTACAATTAAAGGAACAGTTTACTTATGGAGCCGGATGGAAAGGAGGGTGTGGTTGATATTTTCCTATTGTTTCAATAATTTCCTGCATTTTTGATGTTATATTTTATATCCTACAAACGTTGTGCTTTAAATGTTCTACTGCAGTATCCAGTTCAGTATTGCAACCTGAACGTACTTATTTTGCTGGCTACATTCTATGAATACAAATGCAAGTTAAAACCAACCTCAGCCTCTCTCTGATGATGAAATGCCTGTATGTGTACGTTAAAGCACACATGTCTTACTACTTGTTATGGTGGTTCGGGCATGTACCTAGTTTGAGGGTCTGTTTAAATTCCTGGCTTTGTGCTCGTTCCCTGTAACTTGAAATGTCGTCATTTATGTGCCTGCTCTGCCCCTGTCCCTCCCAGGGACCAAAAAAAACCCCAAATAAACAAAACACCACACACCAAAAAAAAACCAAACAAACAAATGAAAAAAACCCAAACCCAACACTGAACAGCAAAAAAAAAACCCAAAACACACACATGCATGCAGAACCACATTGATTTCTCTTTGATAGAGGAGCAGCATCAGGAGACAGTTAATACACAAACTAGTATAAATACTTCTCAAATGAGGGGAAAAGCACATTTATCTTTTGTGGAAGTTGCCATTAAATGCTCGTAGCTTAGAAGTTACTCTGTTGAAGTGGTGGTGATAAATATGGTGATGATAAACACCATTTTTTAGTGTCTGTAGAAATTAAAAAAACTTGAAATTTTCTAGCTTTTCAAGCTGAAATTTTAATAACACATAGCAGTTAGTAGTATGTGCTACTAAAGATGTTACTAATTTCTATAGACTTTTTTCATTCAAGACCTGGGAGGTTTTGAAACTGGAATCGGAGGTTGAGGGAGGGAGGTTCCAAATTTCAGCATACTAGTTTCTGTTCTGACTTCTTTTAAGCACTGATCATAGCTACCATTGACCTCTAGGCCAGTGAAGGCTGCCAAGTGGTTTGCTTTTTTTAAAAAAAAATTGGTTTAAATCCTGACATATTCTCATTAATGCATGAATTGCTTCCTTCAAAGAAATTGAGAAACTAATGTTGATGTTTCTTGAGTATGGATTTTAGTCCCGTATTTTGTTTGTTTTATGTTGTGTCTGATTTCTTTGACTGTTTTGTATCTGCATATGAAATTTTGGGAAGGAAGTTATGTCTGCTTTCAGTTGCACAGTCCATTTCTTGTTGTCAGTAAGTTCATTTCACTTTAAAGATCTGAAATAATTATTCTAACTTTGGCAATTTTATTTTGTTCTTTAAGATTCGAAGGTAATGCTCCTTTTATCTGTGCATTAAATTTCATAGGCAAAGAAGATTGAGACACTTCTAGAACTGATTCCTGAGCATCTAGACGCAGAAACTGCGTACCATTACCTCATGAAATGTTATGGTAATTTACTCTCCTTGGAATAGTTTTTTCAGTAAGAATTCCTTCAGACATTTGGAAAGATCATGGAAACCTTTAGAAAGGGGAGTAGGATCTACACTGTGTAACTTGCTTTACAGTTTGAGCCACAAAGGGGTGGGGGATTTGACTGGGTGTTTGTTGTTTAAGTCTGTTGGGTCTGTGTACTGTCCTAGCTCTTGGCTTGAAAAAGCAACCAACGGACCCAAGCCTTCAATTCTTTACAAAAGAACTGCATTAGATTAAAGGATACTGCTACAATAGAAGCTAAGTAGGGGCTTTGTGGAATAAAAAATCCATCCTACCCATGAAGACAAATACTGTAGAAACTAGTGGCTTTTAAAATGAATCTAGCTTTTTTTTCTCCAAAACATGTAGTGAGTGTATTGATTTGTTTTATGTTTTTCAGAATCATAAGTAGTAAGTTCTGTCAGTGATGTGCAAGGACCTTATTGTCACTAGTGTAGATTCTTTATACCTGTTTTAGTTTAGCCAAAGTTAATATTCCAAATGCCTTCATTTGGATTTACCTAAGTAGTTGAAGTGCTAATCAGTTCGCTTTATAGTTGAAGTCAAAGAGGAACAGCTCTAAAAAAATCAAGTTGCTTATTTAAATATGTTTATTTGCAACACTTGGTTTTGAAAAACCAGGCCATATAGCCCTTATGGCAACAGTCAGTTGGAAGTTTGTGTCTCTGTACTGCAGTGTCCTTTGCCTTGTATACTCTGATACGGCCCTCCAGTTTTATTACAGGGAGTAAATAACTCTTCACACGTGTATTACAAGCAAAAAGATACAATGGCAGAAGCCCTTGGGCTCCAATCTATCACAGAGGAGATAAATAGGAATGATTAAGTAAAACACGTCAAACCCAAATCCAAGGTATGGTGTTAAAGGAATACAAACTTCACAGCAGTTGATTCAAGTTGTAGAAGTTCTCCTGATGTGGTATTGAACTTAGAAAATTCACTTGCTTAGTAGTTCAAAACAGCAATCGCTACTGAAACCGTTTAGCCCCATAGTTTCATTCACAGCAGGGTAAGTCTTCTAAGATGTTTTTATAAAACAAAAAACCGCAAAAACGGCTTTTTGTCACCAGCACTGTACTTGCTGCTTTACATTATCATTAGCCCTTTACTGCTTTTACCTCAGTAAAAATTCTATGAGTGACTAATCAATTTTTTTCGGTATCCTTTCCAGCTACCTCTTAGTACAACAATTTCATAAAGAGACTGCAGAGAATCAACCACTTGCTCAATTATACTTAAGATAGTGGTTAGAGTGTGTTCAACATGTGAAGCCACACTGTGTGTGAACAGGTGGTTGCTGTAGTTTCTTTGAGCAGAGTCGTAGCTGGCTCGTAGCAGGTTCTAGAGGAGACATTCAGTACCAGCATGGAGAGTTTTAAAAGCTGATCCCAGATTACTCTGTACAGCCATCTCGCCTGTCTCATATGTCTGTTACTTGATCCACTTTACCAGGGCTGGGCTGGATGAGTTGTACTAGGCTATCTTTGCATTTTCTCAACAGAATTTGCAATTCAAAATAACCGTAAGTTTGTGTTAATGAAAAAATAAACATCAACAAACAGTTTTATAATCAATTATGTAAATTGGCAATTTAACTACCTCTTCCCCTCATCCCTTCCTTCCATTTCTTGATGATTTCTACAGTGATGAGTATTTTAGTTTCATCTGGCTGTTAAAATGATCATCAGCAAAGTATTTAGCACAACTGAATTTTAGAAGGCTTTGCTTAGGTTGTGTTCTAGCCAAGACACCTAGAAATAAGATCTTTTATTTAAAGTATTTTTTAATTATTTTTTTTTTCATTTTACAGTTAGTAAGCTTTAAAGCACGATTTCTCACTTTGGGCCTAGCGTCATTATTTTCTAGAGAACAAATGATTCTCCCGTCAGGTCCATTGTTGGTTTTAATTAGAAAGGGGAATGAAAAAGGTAATGGAATGCTATTACTACAATAGGTTACTGTTGCTAGTTATCAAAATAAAATGGACAAATAACATGATAATTGTTTATGTGTTTAGCAAAGATATAGCAGAATATAGATCACAGGTGAAAGAAGTCCGATTGTATATCAGACATCCACAACTGAACAAATAAAAGGACATTGACTCCTTTCCTCGTCCTGAGATATGATCCACTGCCAGGACTGGATTTCCTTCGCCTGGTGGGAGGCATAGTCCTTTGCTGTTGTATACCTTCTAGAAAAAGGAAATATGTAAAATCACATTTGCATGGTCCATTAAACGCAATCTAAGTATTAGCTCTTTTTTTTTTCGTTTTCTGTACAATAAATACATCTATTCTAAAGAAATAGAAAGTTAACGATTTCTATTAGGCTTTCATTAAACCATCACTTCATGCAGTTTCTGCAGTAGCCTCCCACGTTCAGAAAGGAGCTCAGCCACTTGCCAGATGTGAGTGGGAAGCTTTTTCTCATGAGAAGGGGACACAAGCTATCCATTTCTGCATAATTAAAGCTTTCTTCTTTAAGAACAATTGAGTTTGTAGCACCTACGGTTGTGAAGATGGTGTTTCCCAATGCGAACAAGACCTGAGACAGCTCCCATACTGCAGATGTTCGCCTTTTCCCAAGCAACAGAATGAATTTAACTAGGCATGATGGTTTCCTTGTTGTTCACAAGGTGCTAGGAACTGTTATAAGTGCTTCTACGACCCCGAGGACAACAGTGAAACTGTCAGGGGTCGCTTCAGTTTCAGCCTGGTTCTTATCGAGCCAGCATCAGAGCAGCAGAAAAGTCTATGGTTAAGCATAATCAGTGTAGAAGGAGGAGTTCCTCCCCTCTCCCACTTTAGAAGGAGGAGAAATACACTTCAGTCTTCTGCAGCTAGAAGTGAATAGTGCTTTAGATAAATGAAGAATGAATTAGGTAGAACTTGTTGCAGGGGATGGTGCCTTTTATGGAATATCCAGAAAAATATTGTTGGTTCCCGAAGCAGCAGTTATGGTTTGCGATGGTGTTAGTGGGTCAGGAAAAATTTTCTCTTGTTCATTAGGATGAAATGGGTTTTTCTTTGTGTTCCGAAATGAGCATCTGATCTTTGTTTTCTTTTTCCTTCAGGTTACAGTTTTGATATAGCCCACACCTGTATTTGTTAATGATATTCTGCCCTTACTTAGGGGAGTTAAAGTCTCTTCTAGAGTTCTCACATGCTGAATGTGGGTGGCTTTTGTTCTAGCTTTTTATTTTTTACCTTTAGCTTCAGAAAGAGGCCTGTGGCTCGCGCTCTCACTGTGGAGCGGCCTGCTCTCACTGTGTGGCTCCTACTCCTCTGTGGTTCCAGCACATGCTTTAAGGCGTTGACCACCCAGCCTCAAAAAAAGGGAAGGCTAGAATGGCCATATGTTCTGTTCTCTTACGTGAATTGTCGGTAGGATATGAAGAATATCCAGAATATTTGGAATATTTTAATATAAAATATTTAGAATATGTTTTGGCAAGTAGCACAGATGTCTGACGTCATGGAAGGGGGTGAAAAGAGGATCACTTAACCATGGAGGGGGTTTGTGTTTTGTTTTTTTTTTCCTCAGAATCGGATGGGGATATTGCTTCTGTAATGGCTGTGTATGAGAAAACAAAAGCGAAGAATATACAGCTGCATGAGCTATCTCTGAAATCTTTAGCGGCTTTTCTGAAGGAAGCAGGAGAGCCTGTCCCTTTCACTGAGCCCCCTGTGAGTATTTCCTAATTAAGAAATAGATCTGCAGAATTGTGTATGTTCAGCGTTAATAAAACAAATTCCATGAATAATTACAGAGGGATTAGATCTCTGCAGAGACTCCTCAAAGGAGGTGATGTGTGAAGTACTGCGTGTTGCAGGAGCTATAGTAATCTTGCATTGGGTTTGACTTGAGGAAATAAAACCTCTTGGGGCTTACGATATTTAAACTACCTGCTCCTTATCAGGCACTCATCTACAGGTGTACCTTTATCAAATGTCCTTGGGGCATTTATCTAAGCAATTGAACTTTAAAAGACTTATAGAATGGAGCATTATTATTAACATTGTTTTTTATATATTTATATATTAATATCATTAACAATTAACGTGTTTTAGTTTACGTTAATTACCTGTTTCATATCTAGTACAAGTTGCCGCTTTAGTAGGATGGGATTTTAGAACTGTAGGTATTATTTTGCTATGGCAGCTTTGCCTCTGTCTGCCTTGCCAACAGATGGATGCAACTGTGCAAATACACCTTACTTGAGGGTGGCAAGTGGCATGACACTAAATCGATTAAGACTGTAAATACTTCTTTGACATTGTTCCTTTGACTAATAGTCTACTAGTACCATTTTAGGAAAGCAGATTTTAAAGACCTATTGTTTTCCCTCTCTAAGCAAACTTTTTATTGCCATTTTCTAGCTGCTTTTTATATTCTAAAATAAGTGGGTTTCTATACTTCTGTAAGGACCTGATTGTTTCTCCATATTGCTTCAGGATAAATGGGATTTTTCTTTTCTCATTTTGCGAAGAACTGGAGAAAATTTTGGCATAAAATAATTAGGTTAGCCTTTTAACAGCTGTGGAATTTTGGAGGTTTTTTCCAACCTTGACATAATTTATAATCTGAATTTTTATTTGGACTGTAAATTTAAAATGTAGAGTATCTATTTCTTACATGTAGCTAGTGAAAGTAAAGTCACTGAACTGATTCATTTTCTGATTTCCCTGTTCAATTTTTGTCTAATGCAGCCTGGTGTTTAAGAGTCTCATAGGTTTTTTTGACACAATTGCAGATTGCAGTTTAAAAGTATTTTCATTTTAAAAATGAAATTGATTATATTATTGCATTTTGTAATAGAAGCTTCATTATGGTAAGGTTTTCATTTTCCTTTTATTCTGTCTCTCTGGTATTTCTCTTAATTATACAGACTTCAATACAGATCAGTTTTGCATGACAGAGAATAACAGATTTTGCTTTTGTCAGTGTAGGACTTTGTTCAGAATTAGTAACTTTTCAGTTGAAACCATGTTGAACTTGTTTATTCCACTCTATTTATAGGAGACATTCAAGTTCTATGTGGAAAAATGGAGGAACAGAAGATTGGAAGCATCATGAACAGACAGTCTTTTATGCTTTAGTTTATGAAATTGTTTAAATATTACATTCAATAAAAACTGAAGAAAGCATGTTGTTCTGTGTAATTTTTAATATAGATCCATGTTTAAGCATCACTTTCCATAGCTGTAATTGATAGGAACATTCATTAATGGAAAAGCTGTTGAAATTGCTAATGAAATATCAAGATGCAGCTTTCTATGGTATTTCTGTTTTGATGTATGATCTGCTGTAGCCTGAACTGTATTTTGGCTCTTACTGATTCACCAAATATATGTATATCAAGAAAGTTGCTAGAGGGGTATCTAACTGTAACTTAAGCAAACTGTCTTATCCTGTGTTGTTCTTTGCCTGGTCAGTGTACTTTGGGCTGAAAGTAGAAGGGTAAAGATCATCATCTTCAGAATTCGTCTGTATCTGCACAGAAAATAAACACATCTTTTTTAGATTTGTCCTAAATGTACTTCTCTTGTCTT